AGTAAAGCCTTCTGCTTTACGGGCTATCAAGGGAACCAAGTCATATTTGTACGCGTAATCGAATAGTAGTGGTGATCATAGTCCGTCCACGACTCGACATCCACTACAGGTCCTCGATATATTGGTAACGAATCAAATATATCTTTCCTGCCTCTTCTCGTCTGACTTCTGATTTCTATCTGACTTCTATCGATCGAATATAGAAGGTGCTATTGGTAACTAGTTGTAAAACTAGAACATCCGTTTGCATCCTTCAATCGGCTTAAATCGCTTCGGTGAATAGCAGAATTAAATAAGTCAAGTAAAGAATGGATTTTGAATACGTATATTTCTCACATTTTTTAATCGAAGAGTGAAGTAAGACGAGACGATGCTAAATGAACCAAGCGTTAATAAATATTTATGGTCAGGCAGAAGTTGCAGACATGTGATGAGTAAGATAAGAAATGTGCATACATACGCTCACACAAAAAACAAGGTTGATAATTAATAAGTGACAAGGTAAAAATATGTATTGAGTAGAACGAATAGATTGATCTGTTCAGAGGCTAGAATAACATGTATGGGGTTGACATGGTAACAGCCCCTTCAAGCTCAGATCTTAATCTCGATCAACAAGTTGAGACTCTAACTGTCGTTCCACACAAAGTGGAAACAACTTCTTTACAGATCATTGTTACTCGCAGTTGTAATGTCACACATTGTCTGGACAAATATACTAAAACCTAACCAAATTGCATCTACTTAAAACACTGATGATGATGTGAGTTTGATTACACTATATACAGAGAGTGAAACTCTATGACAGTAAAACTCGGATATTATGGATGAACGGATTCGTCCGAAAATCAAAACCAGAAAGACAAATAAAAGCTTCCAGTGGGCATAAGGAATGAAATGATAACACGATCGAAATCCTTGAACAGAGCATTAGAACTGATAGACAGAAATACATGGAAGAGCTAGCAACGACATTGGAAAAAGCTGTAAGAGAAAGAAATATGGAACAACTATATGCTACAACGAAGAAACTATCAGGGAGATATAGTAAACTGGAGAGACCAGTCAAAGACAAAGAAGGAAAGACAATCACGGAGATTCAAGAACAGAGGAACAAGTGCCAACGGACTAGGAAGAAGGATACCTCATCGAGATACCAAGGAAAGGAGATCTGAGCAGATGTGAGAACTATATAGCATCATACTATTATCAGTACCAGGAAACATTTTCAATATAGTGTTGCTGAACCAGATGAAAGAAGCAGTAGATGCTCGACTACAAGATCAACAGGCTGGATTCCGTAAAGATCGGTCGTGCACAGACCAAATTGCGACACTACGGGTGATCGTTAAACAATCGGTTGAGTGGAACTCGTCACCATACATCAACTTCATTCATTATGAGAAGACGTTTGTTAGTCTGGGCTGGAGAACACCATGGTAACGTCATAAGTTTAATAGAACATACATTAAAAAAATCACTAAAATGCATCACGAGGCAATCTCTAACTTGGAATACGGAAATGAAGCGGAAAAGTGGGAGACCAATAGACACATTACGCTGGGAAATGAAAGCAGATATGAAAAGGATGAATGTTAACTGGAAAGAACTGGAAAGGATTACCCAGGACAGAGTTGGATGGAGAATGCTGGTGAGCAGCCTATGCTCCTCCACAAGGGGTAACAGGCGTAAGTAAGTTAGAATCCAAACTCTATACTGACCGAAGAAGTTTTGCAGTTGACTAGCATTACTCCTGTTCACCAGTCTCATGTTATACTGATTATATTCCTGTAAATACAGATGGTTGCATACTCATCTGTTTCTGACTTTATGGGCTACCGTTTTTCAACTGTTTGACAATAATCTCATTATTCTCGTTTGAACTCATATTGTGCAGTATATTCCCTGTCGATCGCGCGTGAAAACACTGGACTTATATCTGACATTCCTTAAAATTTTTGATAGATAACGAGTCAATCAATTAGCGATATCGAGGCTGTTATCCTACGCTCATGTTTTCAATCTTAAGTTGGACTCGCTATTCTATGAAGATGACCTATAACACGCTAACTCAGACCTTTAAATTATGACCTGGTGGCTGTCATCTGATGGAAAACAGAAAATTAAAGGAACAGACGATGACACATGATCATTAGAGTTTCTGAACACCCTTCTATCTTTTGATGCACTTTCTATTCTAGCGAAATGCCTTCCTTATTCTAATCTCGACCCTCCCATCATCATTTGAACCCATTCCACCTCGATACGTATCACAACTGATTATTCTTTATTACTGTATTCTCTTATCTGAAGGCTTTGATCATATTTCATTGTGACGAAAGCAGCTTGTAAGAGTTTCATTCAGTAATTTACCTTACTTTTGTATGTTCTGCTAGAAACTGTCAAGCGTTGTTTAGAATTCATGTACAAATACCATGCTGCTCCTAAAGATACCACAAGTATTTGGAGTTTGACAACACTTTAACTAATAACACTTCCTATAATGGAAACGCCCCAACCCGGTGAGATTAGAAGTCAGAGGCGAAGAGTTTTAAAGATATATTTGATAGAATATCGACATACCGAGAACTGATCAATCTAAGCTGGCTAGGGGTTGTAGGAGATGTTAAGCGCGTCGTGTCTGCTCGTGATCTGGTGCTGATGCGTGGGCGAGTGCTTTCTGCTAGGTGAGTTCAAAACTAATGCGGTCAGCATCAAATGTCGAAGACTTACAGAGCCATTGATTTGGGGGATTTGTTTACCGATACAAATAAGTTAATGAAGCAACCGGAGTCAGGAAAACTCGACCGTATATTACAATTACGTGCTATACGCTCAAATAGACTTACTATCTAGTTACTAACGATAATAAGGATAACTCCTAGTATAGCGGTATTGGTTCCTAACTACATGATCTTTGAAGTTGAGCGCATAATTCCTGAGGAGGTTTACACTCGACATCACGAACCAGTAAAAGGTCAAAAATGATGAACGCGGGAACAATTGATCGAAATGGCATGGTTCGGTCGTGTAGGCTCAGTCATTCTGAATAACCTCTTACTTTTGGTATCGAATTTTTTTGTTAAAAGGTGTATGGGCCTCGTGACTTTCGAAAAATTTCGGCTTTCATCATGAGGTATCATAACTATTCCTTCAACTCCCCGGGCAGAGTTTAAATGGTTTAAATTATTTTTTCTGGTTAGCGTTTTTTATCGAGTTTGATTTTCTACGGGATGGGGTCGCTAACCCCATGCCTAACCGCCCTTCGTTACCCGGGCTTGCGAAAGGCAGTAGCCTCGAAGGAGCTACAGGCGGAGTTTGGCGTCGCGAGCATCATCAAGAAGGTACAAGTGTTTATAAACAGTTGTCTACGCAAGATACTTAACATTCACTGACCGGATACTATCAGCAACAGCATTTTAGGGGAGAGGACAAACCAGCTTTCAGCCGAAGAGGAAAATAGGGAAAGCCGTTGGAATTGGATCGGACATACATTAAGGAAATCACCAAACTGCATCACGAAACAATCCCTAACTTGGAATACGGAAGGGAAGCGGAAAAGTGGGAGGCCAATGGACACATTACGCCGGGAGATTGGAGCGGATATGAAAAGGATGAATGTTAACTGGAAAGAACTGGAAAGGATTGCCCAGGACAGGGTTGGATGGAGAATGCTGGTGAGCAGCCTATGCTCCTCCACGAGGGGTTAGAGGCGTAAGTAAGTAAGTTCTGTATCAAATATGTTACTCTTATCCCAGACCAAATATGTTCACCAGAAGTGCTAGAAGTTATATTGCTGATTGTCACGATACGATGAGTCAGTCTAGAGAATGATGTGACTTCCGAGAAAGTTCTTATAGATAAGGTACTCATTTCGTGACAAGTCTACCATTTCGGGTTTACGTCTACTATCATGCTAACAAAAATAAATGTACTAATGCTGAATCAAACTATAATTCTACACTAGCTCGCCTCACCTGGTCAACACTGACCAGGATTGCTAATGTGGCTTTAGTTCTCAATTTCTACCTGAAAAGGAAGTGACCAACAAGTCAACACTTATTAGCAAACAATCAAAACCCCATACACTAGACATTGAAGACGGTCGACGTTTATATACTCTGTCGGCTATTCACGAAGACTACACTTATGTTCCTGTGAATCTCAGAAATCGTGTCTTCTTGACTGCGTGTTTTGTAAGTAGTACTTGACACCGATAGGAAGTGGAACGCTTACCAGCAGAAGATTGAGAAGGTCGAACTGAAGAGAACAGAATGTTAGAGAAGTTATTATAATAACAAGAGAAATAGGAGAATCATGAAGCATTTAATGAACGACTGATAAATGTGCAAGATATATGTTAAGTGCATGACTTTCATATTTTACGAAAGCACTCTGTAATTTTGCATCAAAAAAGAAACTGGTTATTTCCACCTATTCGACTTTTCTTACATAAACTATTGATCTATTCATTTTGAGGGTTACTCCTTCAACCCCCCCCTACACTTTAATTTTAGAGTTTCTAGTATCACAACCATTCGATTTCACACCCAGTAATATGATAGTTATTAATCTTCTTCACGTCATTTATCTTAAGCAAATGCTCAAGAAAAATTAACCTCAAACATCGAGTTCAATAGAATGAGCTTAACCAAGCACTCATGCTGTCTGTTTTATGCAATATTAAAGACCAGAAACCATTCCATTATGTCATGAAGTGAGTTGAAAAGAATCAATCATTTTAAACAAGGCTCTCAAATAAATATCAGATATTCGACTGCTGTTACACCAACTATTAACACTGTTTATGCTAGTCATTATGTCAAGTGACATTTTCCCTATGGCCTAATGATATAATGTCATATTGTAGGCAGAAATGTTGTTGACGTTTTATTTATTGTTCATTGAACAACTGGTCATTTCTTTATCTACATAAACGGATATAGACGCACAGAAAGTCAAGACATTTTCAAACTTTTACCATCTGTTTTCGTTTGGAGATGAGAGAAGTTCAAACTGAGGTGCGTATCAGGTTTTCGTTCGAGCTTAAAGATCGTATTTGTATTCCACCGCTTTTCCATGTACAATAAACGCCTTGTAACACTTGACATTGCTAAGAACACAGGTTATGTCGAGATGCCAAGGAAATAATACTAATTTTTGTAAGTACTGCAGACAATTGTAACGACTTCCTTGAATCGAATAAAGAATACTATTTTAAATATAAAGATCTATTGTATTTTAGTATTCGTGGATTATTTGAGTCACTGTACACTTGAATTCGTGTTTACACATATAACAGTAGTAAACTTGTATATGTACATTGAATGCTATCTCAATAAGTCATGAAACTCGTATCATCAACGTTTGGCTTTTGCCTTAGAATCTAACGGGTTTTATTATTGAGCCATACAGTCTCTGACAAGTGACTGGTATACTCACTTTTAGTGAGGTAGCTAAATCATTACTTCTTATCTCTTTGACTGTAGACCACCGGATATTTTAATTTTACTTTGGCAATTTCGAGATCAACAAATGAATATCTGTGTTCACAGTGTCTAAAACTTTTCGTTAGATAGAAATATTGGGCAGAATATTCCCCTAGAATCTAAGACAAATAACTATTTAATAAATGTGAGAACATTTGAGTGTTTTTTCTTGATCTTATGGGCAATCTGGCATGTAACATCAAAATATTAAGTGTGATCAAGGAGAGGGGTTATAAGACAATATTTTCTATTGCTAAATCTAGGGTAACTAGCAACCTTCGTTTGAAATACCAGTTGATAAGGTCCATGATGATAAGGGATTATCGCAAGCTTTTCCTCAATCTTTTTTATCCTCATTTCCTAGCATAATTTCTCAGATTTATTTTAATAATCTAAAGCAAACCATAGTGGGTTAGGTTCCAGGAGTTTGAAACATTGTGACACAGCTGTTGGATCATTACTTGTTTCTATGTCCTTCATAGGTCAGTATTCTGATCCTGAAAAAAAGCTGGATAAATTTGGTTACCTGCTCCTGGTGATCGTTTTCCTCCTCGAAATTTGCTTTAAGGGAGGAACAATCTTCCTGCCGTAAGGTAGCATGACAGTGGATTTGAGTGATGTGTTATAATTTATCTGGAATAGTGGGGTCTAAATTCATGAAGACAAATTCATAGATAAATAATGCCAACTAAAATTGATGATAGCAACAGGAAAAACATTTGCCAGGCCCTTAAGTACATACCCAGATTCTGTTTTATTTTTGAGAGTGCGATTTTACGACTCCATAGATATCAGTGTACATTAATAACATTCATCATTGATCTATTACATTTATTATGGTTTATTAAGATCATATTACCGTTAATCTGTCTGCGGACCTAATTCGGAATTCTTTGAGGAATAGAAGTATCTAAGGGCCCCCAAATCTTTTGAAATTAGCGAGGCAATCAATATGAGGCATAATTTGCTAAACAGATATCCGTGACGTGGACAGATAATAAAATTTTGTCAAAGCCCATCAAACATAAAAAGACGTTCAAGCAGCATAAAATAAACCTGGAGAGTTTATAGTCTTCTCTTGAGGTGATATTTTATCTGTTTGGACAAATCCGAATACTGAACTCCGTGATATACCCGGGTAACAAACATAAGGATTGAAAACTACGATTGGCTTTAGTGTCATGATATGATTATTTCTTTTGTGTCCAATCTCTTTACATAAGTTTCCATTCGTTCAATTTGGAGTGAACATAATTTGTAAATCTTCTTTTAATTTTCAGTCGGCCAAAGCCAAAAGGTGATCGGCATGTAATATCCTGTTAGTCTAGATAATGGGTAACAACTAAACGCATTTACTAAACTTTGTGTGACTAACCTTCGTTTAAAAACAATAACAATTTTGTCTGTTTACTGGCCATAGAATTTGTTTGCCCTGTGAACCACCTCATAGTTTAAGACAAAGGATGAACAAGTGAATAAGTTTATCTAAGTTTGGTACTTAGCCACTACCTCAAATACTACTGTATATACTCTTCTTCGAGTCTTCACGTATTCCTTTTGCAAAATATGTAAGGAACTTTGAAATTTTATGGGTCAAGGAAGCCAAAGGTCTCTCTAGCACAAGGCCTAGAAATTAATACTGTCGTACTGGTAAACCAACATATTATTCACTCGAGTCAGTTTACTTACGGTATTTATAAAGGTGTGCTATTTTGTAATATCCCTTAAAATAAAAACGAAAACGATATCCGCTTTCAACGAACCATTCTGTGCTACCATGAAATTTTGTAGGAAACTACTTTGAGAATTAAAAAAGTCCATCATCTGATAAAACTACGAAACAACTGAAGAATATGAATAAACCATTATTTATTAATCTTAAAATTTTACATATCGGAACTTTTCTCCATAATTATTGTATGCAACTTGTAAAACCACAAAAGAGTTTCTCTGTAGTATGTTAATCAAAGCCTTCAAAAAGTACTAAATTTTACAATTCTTTTCATTGCTTGGGTTTAAGAACAAAAATTCATCCATTATTGTAAACTTTACTTTATTTCATATGTTTCTACTCAAAGTTGATAGTGTTCTTATTTCTCTGGTGCGTTGTGATTATTTGATGTATGGACTGTAGTGATGCATAAAATATAGTTTCTGCTTACTGATATCAAGTGTAAAGGTTCGTCTCTTTTACAATACATTTTTCGTTTATACTAAAATTCTGATTGCTGACATCAAATACTTGGATACGGATTAGCTAGATCAAACCTGCACTGTTTAAACAGTCGGCAGACCATAAGGATAAATAGCATTTAAATTTTAGTTCGTGCTTAATATTGTTGAGGATCGCAATTTGAAGTGCACTGTATGTACCTATGATAAAGAACTAGTTAGCAAACTAAAATTCTGTTAAACGGGATAATTTTTATAAGGTCGATTCACATCATTTGATACATTTAAGTTTAACACTCATAACACATACATTGTGTTTCCCATGATACGTACACATTTGCATGAGGGCCTATGTTAATATCATTCAATCTGACTGAGTGCCCATAATATACTATGTTTCTCAATTCTTAGTTACTTCATTTTCTAAATTATCATGGATAGGATATTGATACTATTGTAATTTTATGAACTCTAGGTAGAGTATCTTTACTAAAGCGACCAGCGTAAACGTTATTTGTCATATCTAAAAGTTCAACTAAAGTTACTAAAATTTTGGTAAGCAGAGATGGATGAGTTGCAGTCCTCACACATCGATGGGAAGATTCAAACAAACAATACTAAATGTATTTTTACTACAATTTTGTTTACAAAACCTAAAGTTATGTTCATTTTTATGCAACCTTAGGAAGAATTAGAACAAGCTATCAAAGAAAGTGAAACAAGACTGATGATACTGGATTTTTTTGCGGATTGGTGTGGGCCTTGCAAAAGAGTCGCCCCGGAACTGGACAAAATTTGTGAAGAATGGGAAGATGTTTTATTCGTAAAATTAAATGTAGATGAGTTAGAGGTAGGTGTTGCGAATCTTTGGATCGTTCTCAAGTATGCTTATATATTCTTTTCATAATTGCTATGTAAATAAAAGTAATAAAAATTGTTTTGATCTACTTAGCGTTGCTTCCTTATAAATTGTGCCTGTTTCTGAGTATAAGAAGTGCCATCTATCCAGGCACAAAATGATTAATTTAAGTACGCTTATGTTATTTATGGATTAAGCAGATTGTTTTGAAACTTATCTTGTCGTCTATGTTCATAGTTAAAAATGAATCTTCTAGCCTGCAAAATGGTGTAGATATTAAAACTTATCCATCTTTCTGAAGCACATGATGACAGTAACATTTAGAAAGGCAATGAAAGCTTAGTGGCTAAACCATCTAGTTATGGGATACAAAGCCTCTACAGTTTCTCGCTTTTTATGCAAATATTTTTCGCTGTCTTAATTCGTCTTGTTAAGGATTATTTTAATAACAAATCTGATCAACTGATTTTGGTATCGAATTTTTACCAATAAATATAGTTTGGAATTGGTTCTAGGGACTTTCGTTTGTTCATCTTTCCAGCCAAGTCGAATGCGTATCAATAGTTATTATTTCAAGATATGTGTGGTTGGTTAACATTTGTGCTGTCCTTCTGAAACTTAGGTAAATAGTTGCAGTGTTTATATCTCAGTGGGAGCACAACCACCAATGTATGGATTTTATTCAGACAAAAAGTTCTAAATGTGATAAAAAGTATGCAGTTGACTTCAGAACCAATCAGTAGCTAAGTTACATTAAAATATGTCGAGAAATAACATCCTTGTACCAAAACTAAAGACTAAGCGTTCAATTAGCATGTTAAATTTGTTCCAGTCAACTTACAACGTTATTCAACTTGATCGGTTAGTTAAATGTGGCTCCAGTTTTTAGTGTACTTTCAAAAAGGAATTCTTAGTAATACGGACATCGTTTATAACATTTTGATATTTTGATAAGTGACATATATATATATATATATATATATACTTGACCATATGATGTTAGCTAGTAAATACAATCTTCTTTGTCAAAAGTATGCATCTAGCATATATCATAGTTATTTTCCTTTAAATGTATTCTTTTATCTGGGAGAGACGACTTTTAATACATTTTATGCTGCGAAATAAAACTGTGGTACATAGTCAAATGAGTTAGAGTCTTCTTCATTAGAATCCGAGTTTTATTCATGGAATTTGATCTTCCTTTTTTATTACTAGCAAGGCAATAAAAGCTCATACAAAAATGTTTCCATCTAAATTACTACTTTGGAAACAGGAGATCAATAGAACTGGAAAGATATTTACAAACAGAAAGGAAAATAATCATAAAGAGGGCTCTTGTTGACTAAGACAAATTACGTATTGTGTATTTTCTGTTAATCCTTATTACTCTGTTAGTTTATTGGTCTAGAAAAAGAACAGAAAAATATTAAGACATCAAATTAATCCACTAAATAGGTAATTGCAATCCGTTGTTGTAATATGGAAATATGGATTGTTTCGCTTTGCTCCAGTGGTACATCAGATGATGATATTTCCAGACAAAGAATGATCTTACTAAAAAAGTCCACAGCACTATTTTTCCATGAAAACAGTTTTTAATTGCTTTTTGGCTGTTTAATTACTTTGACTTATGTCTTTGTTATCTTTCTTCTACTAAACGATTAAATAACCTAGGTTATTTCGCCGATTTCGGAAAACATACAGTGGCTAAATACGTAATTATTCACTTTGTATTGGGTCGACCCTCAATTTGCCATAGTACTCTTTCCGTGAGACATTGGAAATAAAACGGACCATTGTTACCGAAAGTTAAGTCAAATATGGATAGGGCCATAATTTATTCAAACAGTATCTTCACGTACACAAGTAATAGAAATCATGGGTTCCACTGACGACAAGAGTCAAGATAGGATTTGATGCAGACTATAAAATGACAATTCCTAGCAGTATATAAAGATAGAAAAATTACCCCATTAACAGACTGAGACATAGATTATTGGGCTGGTCAGACGGATGCCTATGATTCATATCCTTGAGAAGCATAATATTTTTAGTATTTGTGGTTATTAAAAATCAAAGTTTTCTAGGCATCATCATCACTTATACTTTTATTTTTAGTCTGCAGCTGAAACGTATTCTATAGCTGCGATGCCTACATTTATTGCATTCAAAGGTGGCGAAAAAGTGGACGAAGTTGTTGGTGCGAATTTAGATAAACTGAGAGAGATGATTGAAAAATATAAATAAATAAATCACCGAGGTGAATGAAAAAAATCATTTCACTGAACATCTTTCTGTATCACAATTAGTCATATATTGCACTTAGTTACTATTATATGTAAAAGATATTTATGAATTCAGTGACGTTTAACCTTTAATTGAAATTGATGATATATATTTGTTAACACATGCATAAGAAGAGGTACTTTAGTTTTCAGTAAATATATTCATTAAACAAATATTATATTTCACTACAGCTGATTTGGTTATTTTGTTACTTCTTGAGCTGTTTTCGTCTATTCTTGTGGAGTAACTTGACTGACAATATCACTGTAAGTATCAGTAACAATACCGTGTTATTTTTATTCTCAAAAATGAATGTATAAAAGCTAATCAGTGTACTGTCACTCATCTTTAAAACAACGACTAGAAATGATAATCCACCAGATTATTAAAAGTGTGCCAACAAAAAGAATATCATTAGGGTAAATAACTAGTTTTGATGTTGGCTAATTGGAGACAAATGGAAGAAAAACTGGTTCCAGGGATTCTTGTCAATTGCTTTTCAAGCCATCGAGTGAATCTTACACTGATCACTGAGAGAATATTATACTTTTAAGGGAATCTATTATATGACAGATTAGCTTAATGACTATATAATTTATTCTTATAGTAATGTGTAGTTTAATGTAAATTACTTATAATGCATCATCGTTGAACAATTAATTGTATGGAACTGGTCACTAAACATAAACTTCATTGATTATGAAAAGGAGTTTGATCGTCAAGATCATAAGGAATTTATACGGCAGAGGAAATCCGAGGAACACATTACGTCGAGAAATGGAAGCAGATATGAAAAGGATGAATAGCAACTGGAATCAACAAGAAAGGATCTATCAAGACAGAGCTGGATGGAGAGTGCTGGCGGGTGGTCTATGCTCCTCAATGCTTATCGTCAGATGTGATCTTCGCAATCTAGTCAACCACCAGAAGGAAGAGAAAGAAGAAGAGTAGATAGAGTTGTTTGACTCCGGTCCTCACTCGGAATGCGTCAGTCAGCTGTTCTTCATGCACGACTTTGCAGTGTAATCTGTCGTATGAATTCCGTATGATGTTGACGATGTTCTCAGGTACACCATAGCGTCTAAGATGTTTTTATGAGGTTCCACTATCCCCACTATCAAACGCCTTCTCATAATGAATGAAGTTGATGTATGGTGACGAGTTCCACTCAACCGATTGTTTAACGATCACCCGTAGTGTCGCAATTTGGTCTGTGCACGACCGATCTTTACGGAATCCAGCCTGTTGATCTTGTAGTCGAGCATCTACTGCTTCTTTCATCTGGTTCAGCAACACTATATTGAAAATGTTTCCTGGTACTGATAATAGTATGATGCTATATAGTTCTCACATCTGCTCAGATCTCCTTTCCTTGGTATCTCGATGAGGTATCCTTCTTCCTAGTCCGTTGGCACTTGTTCTTTTTCCCCAAATCTTCTTGAATAGAAGGTGAAGCATGTTTAGAATTACTTCAATGTCTGACTTCAGTGCTTCAGCTGGTATATTGTCAGGTCCTACCGCTTTCACACTCTCTATTTGTCTGATGTCCATCTTGATTTCTTCGATCATTTGTAGAGTGACATCTATAGGAAGGTCAGTGTGTGTTGCTTCGATGTCCGGTGGATTAAATGGAGCTGGTCTATTCAGCAGTTCGTCGAAGTATTCTGCCCATCATTTCCTCTGTTCTTGAATCTCCGTGATTGTCTTTCCTTCTTTGTCCTTGACTGGTCTCTCCAGTTTACTATATCTCCCTGATAGTTTCTTCGTTGTAGCATATACTTACTTACTTACGCCTGTTACTCCCAATGGAGCATAGGCCGCCGACCAGCTTTCTCCAACCCACTCTGTCCTGGGCTTCCTTTTCTAGTTCTATCCAGTTCTTGTTCATTCTTCTCATGTCTGTCTCTATTTCTCGGCGTAATGTGTTCTTTGGTCTTCCTCTTCTCCGTTGACCTTCAGGATTCCATGTGAGGGCTTGTCTTGTGACGCAATTAGCTGATTTCCTCAAGGTGTGCCCAATCCACTTCCAGCGCTTCTTCCTGATTTCTTCCTTCGCTAAAATCTGGTTTGTTCTCTCCCACAGTAACTTATTGCTGATAGTGTCTGGCCATCGGATCCGAAGTATTTTGCGTAGACAGCTGTTGATGAACACTTGTATTTTCTGGATAATGGCTTTCGTATTTCTCCACGTCTCCGCCCCATACAGTAGAACTGTCTTGACATTTGTATTGAAAATTCTAACCTTGGTGTTGGTTGACAATTGTTTTGAGCTCCAGATGTTTTTCAGTTGTAAGTATGCTGCTCTTGCTTTGCCTATCCGCACCCTCACATCTGCATCTGATCCTCCGTGTTCATCAATGATGCTGCCCAGATATGTAAAGGTTTCCACATCCTCCAAAGCTTCTCCGTCAAGTGTAATTTGATTGGTGCACATTGCGTTGTATCGGAGAGTCTTGCTTTTCCCTTTGTTTATATTGAGACCTACTGCTGCTGAGGCTGCTGCTACACTGGTCGTTTTCTCTTGCATTTGTTGTTGCGTTTGTGATAGAAGAGCCAGATCATCCGCGAAGTCTAGATCGTCAGGTTGCATCCTGCCTGTCCACTGTATCCCGTGCTTTCCTCCAGTCGTTGACGTCTTCATGATCCAGTCGATGACCAGGAGAAAGAGAAAGGGTGAGAGTAAGCAACCTTGCCTCACACCGGTCTTTACTTGAAACGAGTCGGTGAGTTGTCCTCCGTGGACGATTTGGCAGTTTAGTCCATCATAGGAGTTCCGTATGATATTGACTATCTTCTCAGGCACGCCGTAGTGTCGAAGAAGCTTCCATAGCGTCGTCCTGTCCACGCTATCAAATGCCTTCTCGTAGTCGATGAAGTTGATGTAGAGTGATGAATTCCATTCGATTGATTGTTCCACAATGATCCGCAGAGTTGCGATTTGATCTGTGCACGATCTATCCTTACGAAATCCAGCTTGTTGATCTCGAAGTTGGGCGTCCACGGAATCCTTCATCCTGTTTAACAATACTCGGTTGAAGACTTTTCCTGGTATTGAGAGAAGAGTGATGCCCCTGTAGTTGTCGCACTTGCTGAGATCACCTTTCTTTGGTATCTTGATCAGAAGTCCTTTTTTCCAGTCTGTTGGTACTTGTTCTTCGTTCCAAATCTTACTGAAGAGGATGTGGAGTATCTTGGCAGTTGCTGTTACATTTGCTTTCAGTGCCTCTGCCGGGATGTTGTCTGGTCCCGCTGCTTTGCCACTCTTGACTTGTCTAATGGCCATGCTGATCTCTTCAATTGTTGGTGGGCCAATATCGATTGGGAGGTCCGTGGGTGCTGCTTCGATGTTGAGTGGGTTCAGTGGGGCTGGTCGATTCAAGAGTTCTTTGAAGTGTTCTACCCACCTGTTTCGTTGTTCTTCAATGTCGTTGATTACTTTGCCTTCCTTGCTTTTCACTGGTCTTTCTGGCTTACGGTAATTTCCAGCAAGTTTCTTTGTTGTATCATACAATTGTCTCATGTTTCCTTCTCTTGCAGCCTTTTCCGCAGTCATCGCTAAATCTTCCACATATTTACGTTTGTCGGTTCTGATGCTCCTCTTCACTTGCTTGTTTGCCTCTGTGTATTCGGCTTGTGCCTTGGCCTTTTCCGCTCTGGTTCGGCTGATATTGATTGCTGCCTTCTTGTTCCTCCTTGATTCAATCTTATCCAGTGTACCAACAGTGATCCATTCCTTGTGATGGTGCTTCTTTTGGCCCAGAACCTCCTGACATGTTGAAACGATTGCCTCCTTGATACCTTTCCAGTTGCTCTCCATGGTAGTCCCCTCTCCATTGAGTAGGTCATGAAAGGCCTCGAACCTGTTGCTGAGGGCTATGTTGAATTTGTTGAGTTTGTCAGCATCTCGAAGAAAGGCCGTATTAAACTTTTGTGATGTTGTCCGCGCCGTTGTCCAGTGCTTCTTAAGTTTTAGTTTCATCTTGGCGACCAGCAAATGATGATCGGATGCTATATCAGCTCCTCTTCTGGTTCTCACATCCTCCATTGTCCTCCTGAACCTTTTGTTGATGCAGATGTGGTCGATTTGATTCTGTGTAGTGTGATCCGGTGAAATTCAAGTGGCTTCGTGTATGTTTTTGTGTGGGAATATGGTGCCACCTATGACCAGTTTATTGAAGGCACATAGGTTTGCAAATCTCTCACCATTTTCGTTCCTTTCTCCCAGTCCATGTTGTCCCATGACGTCTTCGTATCCAGTGTTGTCCATTCTAACCTTAGCATTGAGATCTCCCATCAGAATTGTCAGGTCCTTGGATGGGCACTTCTCGACGATCGACTGCAGCCTATCGTAGAATTGGTCTTTAGCGTCTTCATCGTAGTCGTTGGTAGGCGCATAGCATTGGATGACGTTCATTGTAATGCCCTCTCTCTTTGTTTTGAAGGAGGCTTTGATGATCCTTGGTCCATGAGATTCCCATCCTATAAGTGCATTTTGTGCTTTTCTGGACAGCATCAATGCAACTCCTTGTGTATGTGGGGCATTTTCTTCTTCATGACCGGAGTATAACAGAAGTTCTCCTGAAGACAGTCGTTGTTGTCCAACCTGGGTCCAATGTGTTTCGCTGATTCCAAGCACCTCCAGGTTGTATTTTCTCATTTCTGCAGCAATTTGGAAGACTCTTCCGGTCTCCCACATTGTCTGGACATTCCATGTACCTATAAAAATTGTCGCTCTGGTTGTAAGAAGGTGCATCGGCCTCATGACCTCCGAAGGAACTCGGCTTTCATCATGAGACGTCATAATTATTTCTTTTACTCCCAGAACAGAGTTTGAATGGTTTGAATGATTTTTTCTGGTTAGCGTTTTTTTAACGAGTTGATTTTCTATGGGATGGGGTCGCTAACCCCATGCCCAACCCTCCTCCTTTACCCGGGCTTGGGACCGGCAGTAACCCCCAGAG